GGATGAGTTGGTAGGTCGGATAGGATGAGTTGGGAGGTCGGATAGGATGAGTTGGCAGGTCGGATAGGATGAGTTGGGAGGTCGGATAGAATGAGTTTGGAGGTCGGATAGGATGAGTTGGGACGACGGAAGGGATGAGTTGGGAGGTCGGATAGGATGAGTTGGTAGGTCGGATAGGATGAGTTGGGACGACGGAAGGGATGAGTTTGGAGGTCGGATAGGATGAGTTGGGAGGTCGGATAGAATGAGTTTAGAGGTCGGATAGGATGAGTTGGTAGGTCAGATAGGATGAGTTGGGACGACGGAAGGGATGAGTTTGGAGGTCGGATAGGATGAGTTTGGAGGTCGGATAGGATGAGTTTGTAGGTCGGATAGGATGAGTTGGGACGACGGAAGGGATGAGTTGGCAGGTCGGATAGGATGAGTTGGTAGGTCGGATAGGATGAGTTGGGACGACGGAAGGGATGAGTTTAGAGGTCGGATAGGATGAGTTGGGAGGTCGGATAGGATGAGTTGGGAGGTCGGACATAGTTTAGTTTAATATAGCTTCACTGACCTTCACATATTTGAGCTACCAACACAGGGCATGACTCCTTTAAAGGGGTGTTCTAGATAACAGGTATACCAGGATGTCTGGGCCTGGCGACGAGGATATGTCATGGATGTCTGATATAGATCAATACAGTACACTGCTCATGCAAACAGACTGAATGTTAGGAAGAGAACATATGGATGTCAACTTCTTTATTATGAGGAACACAACGTTTCGGAGTATATACTCCGAACGTTGTGTTCCTCATAATAAAGAAGTTGACTTCTATATATTCTCTACCTTATGTGTATCACTTCTAAATGCCTTTCAAAGACCAGACTGTTATCAAATGTCATGGCGTATGGGTGGTTGGGATCGCGTGTTGTGGCGTGGGCGTGGTTGGAATGGTGTGTGGTTGGAATGGTGTGTGGTGGTGTGTGTGTGTGTGGGGGGGGGGGGGGGGGGGGATCTGAGACTGTGTGTGGTGGCGTGGGCGTTGTTGGGATGGTGTGTGGTTGGGATGGTGTGTAGTGGCGTTGGCGTGGTTGGAAAGGTGTGTGGTTGGAATGGTGTGTGGTGGTGTTTGTGTGTGTGTGGGGGGGGGGGGGGGGGGGGGGAGGGGGGTCTGAGATGGTGTGTGTTGGCGTGGAGGTTGTTAGGATGATGTGCGGTTTGGATGGCGTGTTGTGGCGTGGGCGTGGTTGGGATGGTGTGTGGTGGCGTGGGGCCGGTTGGAATGGTGTGTGGTGGTGTTTGTGTGTGTGTGTGTGTGGGGGGGGGGGGCGGTCTGAGATGGTGTGTGGTGGCGTGGAGGTTGTTAGGATGGTGTGTGGTTTGGATGGCGTGTTGTGGCGTGGGCGTGGTTGGGATGGTGTGTGGTGGCGTGGGGTTGGTTAGGGTGGCGTGTGGTGGTGTGGGTGTGTGGTTGGGATGGTGTGTTGTGACGTGGGGGTGGTTGGGATGGTGTGTGTTTGGGATGGCGTGGTTGCGGTGGCGTGGGTGTGGTGGCATGTGTGTAGTTTGGAAGGCGTGTGGTTGCGTGTGAGAGGTTGATGGCATATTGTCATGTATGTATGTTGGTAAGTATAAACTTGAAAGTTTCGCATGTTCAAAAAGGCGTTTAACCCAAATCGGACACTCACTCCAACATCAAAATAGCTACAAGTATTGTATTATTCAAATAAAGATACCACATCACCGCAGAAACAAATAAGAACAGCATTCATTCCACATAGATTAGATACAAATGCTTGCATCCTGACACCCAGAAATTTATAAGTGACTGCATAGCATGCCTGTCACTATCTAATAAACTGCGACTGCTTTACCAGTCCCGATAAATACCACACTTCTTTGGCTCATACTGTAAGGCAACACTAGGATGATATGGACACCGCTAACGATAAGACAATAGCTGTGATAACCAACACAAGCAATTATACTTCCTCTTTCAACATCTTTAGTTTATCGCAAGGCATTTCACGACATCCTCATTCGTGAGAGAGAGAGAGAGAGAGAGAAAGAGAGAGCGAGAGAGAGAGAGAGAGAGAGAGAGAGAGAGAGAGAGAGAGAGAGAGAGAGAGAGAGAGGAGGGGAGAGGGGGGGGGGGGGGCTATTTTTTATTTTGCAAAAATATTCTGTCCTTTACCTACACACATTAAAACACTAAGCCGATGACACGATTGTTGATTTATGTATTGCGCTGTCAAATCAAGCCCTCTTTTGATAACCAAGTTAGTGCGCAAGTGTGACCTGGCCATGTCAAGAATCAGCTCGCAACTGTTCAAATAACAGCTTTGTCTCTCCCTGCAACACAGTCACAGTTTATTGTACATGTCGCCCTGACAACACCGTTTCCCGTTCACGTTTTTATGCATACGCTGTAACTACCGAAAAGTATTCAACGCTTGACGGTGTGTGCGCAACGAGGAAATTCAGAAATAATCATCTAAGCAATTTGAATGATTTTTTCAGTTGGACGATTTGATATCCTTTATGTGCTGGAGATTGAGTGCATGAGTGATGTACAGAGACACACCGCTATCTTTCTGATACACTATTCAAGCTTTGTTAAGACGGCCTGTCGTCGATCGAGTCTTGGTCAGACAAACCAGTGGGTGACATCATGAGCAATGTCCAGCGCCATCGGGGCGTGATGGCAGGCAAACGACTAAGTCATCACATGTTTGTAAACAACCCGATAACCATTACGTCCAGAATCCGCTGTGCAGAGTTGCGTCCCTTAGGAGAGCCAGGAACCTATGATTGTGGGTTCGAATACCGGTTCACCTTGATTAAGTCTCTTGGTTTGTCAGCACCATACCCGTGCTGGTGGGTTTCTTAAAACAGATAAACGTATGACATCAAGTTGACCCACCGTGACATGACTAAGATGCTGTTGAAAGCTGGGCTATACCAAACTCTCTCACTTACTCAAATGTACTTGTACAAGTGTTATGACATGCGCAACGGCCACATGATTCCATCCCGGACCAAGTTGGTGTAACCTGCGTGAATAACTTAGCATAACATGCTTTGTATTGGTGCTAAAATCCAATATCATTTGCAGGATAATTCACCATGATCAGAAGCGCCATTTTTCATAAAAGCTTAACTTATACAATCCGCTTAAATGGTAAACTGATTTTCTAGAAATTCAAGTGTTATGCGTGACATGACCCAACGCTTATTGAACACATCTCGTTAATCACCGAACACTCTGAATGGACGGTAAAAATCAGATCCTTTGATAATAGTCAACACGCAATCCCAGGTAGTTAATCTGCCCTTAACTGCAGGAACGTATTGTCTGATGTCGAATGTGTTTACGGGACTATCACCATTTACAAAATGAGTGTAAAAACCACTATAACCATCTTGTACATGGATGCCTGTTTAATATATGCCGACGTTAACAGCGGTGTATCCAAGTGTAAGAGAGTTACTTTGGTTTAATGCAGCTTTGAATATTATGTCAGTTATATCACTTGGTGTGAGCGGAAAACCCGAAGGCCCGAACTACTGACATTCCGTATCCGCGCAAACGATATACCCACTAGACCACGGTGGCGATCATTAAGGGATGTAAACATCTGAAATCATGTAAACACATTTCATCTCCACAAACCGAGTACCGCCGCGTCTGTCGGGAGAGCGGAAGGTCAGTGGATCGATACCAAAAAGCGTTAAAAAAGATACTTGATGTTACCCTGCCTGGCGCTCGGCATTAAGGGGATAAACAAAGACTGAACGGCCCGGCGTCAGTATACTGTGTCTGAGTTGGGTATACATGTTAAACTGCGGCATAGGATCTCAGCGGGCTAGCACTATTAGTCCGGACTAGTACAAGCAACCACACACATGCACTCGCACACACGCACGCGCGCACGCACGCACGCACACATGCATTGATCTTGAACGCGACGTTAAACCCCTGGTTGCTTCATTAAGCTTTCATCACATATTAGCTGACACGCGGTGATATGACAAAAATATTTTTCAAAGTATCCTAAAACCTAACATGAAATACTGAAAAGGTGTGTAATAGTTAACGAAAGACAACAAAAGCGACCATTAGACAAGCCTATGCGAACTGGGCGCGCAGGTCAGCTACATGTGAACATCAACTCGAACAAGCTTCCTTGGACAAAGCCCGATTATTATACCATATGATTCTTTCAGAGAGCCCACACAAATATACTAGCCAGGTCGCTGTATGAGACACACATCCGTCACGCTTTGTCAGCGAATGTAAAAGACGGTAGACGCTAGCTATACAACGATAACGAAAACCGAAGAGAATGTAACTTCCTGTTGAAGTCGTGCCTGCACATGCTAAACAATCGCGTCCTTCCTGAAGGGGTTAAGTGGTCAACGTGGTCAACGAGGTCAAGGTAAATGGGTTTAATGGAGGGGAGGATAAACAGGTGATTGAATATGGTACGCCAGGTTCTAAAAGGGAGATACATATTATTCAAAAATTAAATATCTGTTTTTAAAACAGTCGTCACTGTGTAACAGTGAATGTACCAGCTGGAAGTATATAGGATTATGGCTTGGATAATTTCTGTGCAAGTGAGTTAACTGCTCTTATATATACCTTTTTAGGTTATGAGTGTCTTCTTGAGAGGTATGACACACAGGCCCGCCAAGGTGTAGTCAGTGTATATATGTTAGGTTCAAACGCCGTCACGTGTGACAGGCACAGACACCAAGTTCGTTATCTGCAGCAGTGACCCAGAATGTGTTGAAAGTTTTGTAGAGTTACACATGGACAACTGGCCATACTATTGCTGATATATATAGAACGGTATACTCACAGCGTTGGGTATTACAACACACTCACACCATCAAACAACGCCATTAAACAGACACGCGTCTCTAAGGGTATTGTTGATAAGAAGGCGATACGTTTGTATGACATGCATGTGAACGTGGGAACATGTTTATATAACAAAATTCCTCTTACCTAAAATCGGATGAATTTATCCAAAATACTCGGCTGCTCCGATCTACTCTCTGCCCAACCGATCCAGTGCCACCTGACTTCGCGTGTAGATTCACAGCTGAACTTTGACCCTTGAGTATTTATTTATAGCTGAGCATACCCGTGCTCGGGAATTCCGCGGTTCAGCTTCCGGGTTGAGGCGTGCGCCGAAAATTGATTTTGTCTACTTTTCTTGTTACATTTTAGTCGATTCTATGAAAACAAACAAGGTTATTGATTACATCTGAACTGTATTGCTTGCATATGTCGTGAATTATGTTTACTTTGTTTACCTAGGAATTAAAGTTCCTTTTCTAGCTCATGAACTTAACATCGATCACTGGATTTGTCTTATGACTATGCGCTATTCGGCGACCTTCCCCTGTCCGTAACACTCCTTGGGTAGTTCACTAAAACATACACGATTACATATGCTGATGATTTGGTGTTACTCTATCCTTGGTAGAGATTTTGGGTCGCGTAACCTTAAAGGCCCCTCAGGTGCATGCGTCTTAAAAAAACATGGTACTCAATTTGTAATTCAAGCGCCACTGAACAGCTAATAGTTGGATTTTAGGTTCTAAGTTAATAAAATATGACATATTATTATTGTTGTTGTTATTGTTGTTATTATCATATATAGGGTCGGTCGGGTAGCCTCGTGGTTAAAGCGTTCCTCGTCACGCTAAAGACCCGGGTTCGATTCCCGACATGGGTACAATGTGTGAAGCCCATTTCTGGTGTCCCCCGCCGTGATATTACTGGAATATTGCTAAAAGCCACTTAAAACCATACTCACTCACTCACTCACTCACTATTATATATAATGTACTCTGCACTTCAAGAATTGTGTTTCAAAGTAAGCATTAAGCTTAACAACGACGCGATATAGTTCAGTACTCATCAGAATATTGGCAATGTGGTTTTTCGCGACCCCACCTTGTAGCTAGAGTAGGTGAGTGAATATTGTTTAACGCCGAAGACAGTACAGAGAGGTTGGGGCACGGGTGGCCCAGTAGGTCACCGAAAATTTACTGTGAGGAGTTGCATCCCTTAATTAGGCGTACCTGAAATCTATGATCGTGGGTTCAAATCCCAGTTCGTCCTCGGTATGTTTAATTTCCAGGTTTGTCAGCACCATACTCGCGGGTTCAACCAAATTGGTATCCGTCTTGTAAAAGGCGGTAGTTGATCTTTTAGCGAGTAAATGCTCAAGGTGACAGACGAGTTGTTTTGAGTCTTCAGCAAACCGACAATGAATGTTTTAAGTATTACGTTGTTGTCACGCTATCACATAAATTTTCCAATTATTCTCGAAGCTGATCACAAACACCTGCTGGAGTTGACCCAGTACGAGCGTCATCATTGCACTGAGTGAATGAGTTGTATGATTAGGTGGTGAAGTGTGTTAGCGTATCTCTGGTAGAAGAAGGGACATGGTGATACTGATTGTATGTCTGTATGATTAGGTGGTGAATTGTGTTAGCGTATCTCTGGTAGAAGAAGGGACATGGTGATACTGATTGTATGTCTGTATGATTAGGTGGTTTAACTGTGGTATGTCGCTGCTACAAGGTTGGACCTGTTTCCTGTTTTGCTCATATCCGCGACATAAGGCTCGTCTGGCTGTGGGTTAGAACAAGTCTTCAGCAACCCTCGCTTGTCATAAGAGGCGACTAACGGGATCGGGCAGTCATTCTCGCTGACTTGGTTCATGCATGTCATCGTATCCCAACTGCGGAGATCGATGCTCATTATGTCAATCACTGGATTATCTGGTCCAGACTCAATTATTTACAGACCGCCGTCCTATTGCTTGGTTGTGACTGAGTGCAGCGCTGAATAACAAACAAGCAACACAAGTCTTCCAGTGTTGAATAAAAATTGATTGATTGATATGAAATAAATTGGCATGGAATGACATGGCATTATATGGTATGATATGATAAGATATGATGGGACAAGCTATGACATTGCTAATGTGTTGTGTCATATGACATGTTGAAATGTGATACAATATAGTTGTGATATATGGTACGATGGTATGTATAGTATGTTATGATAATGTTATGTGAAATAATACTATATAGTATGATCTTATAATAATGATACAACATGATATGATGTTATAGAATATGTTGTATGATATAACAAGTTGTGATATGGTAATATAGAAATTATGAAATTACAGGGTATGGTATTGTACTGAATGTGTGAAATTATGTGACTGCGTTGAAATGCGAGGTGGAATGACGTGAGGTGATCTGGTGAGATATGTGCATAAATAGAATAAAACTGTATATTCTTCAAATTGTACTATAGGCATGTGGCCTCTTCAGTATGTGAAATAAAGATTAGAACAAACAAGCGAAACCAAACTGGGGCAGAGTAATACCCCGTGAATGTGACTATGATTGTAGTGAAGACACATTTGTTCAAAAAAGCTTTCATGAGTGACATTTGAATGTAGCGCTTTGAGCATGAACATGGAGGCTAGCGCATTATAAGTGCACACTATTATTATTATTTGGATCGTTGCTCATGCTGTCAACCACTGACTAAAACATGACGACATAACCATGTTAATTACAGTTTGAAACAATATTCACTCACCCCACAGTGTAATGGCTTTTGTTTCCTTTCTACTTCATCATGTTCGGGGGCATTTTATATAATGTTTATCTTTGGCCAGATAGTTTTCTTTCGTTGATTTGTGTTGGTGTTGGTTTATCAATTTAACTGTCGGTCGTGTTTTGGTATTAAGGCAATAGTTTATACAAATTAATCCCGGAAGTAGATAATTTCCTCCACTGACGACGCCCTTTGTCTTTTCCTCGTTGTTAACCTACACAAACAAACTTATCATCACAACTGAACTATGACACATCGATCCCAGGCCACAAGGTAGTGCTCCCCAGAAGGGCCAATTATCGTCCATATGGCATTGTCACGTGGCGATTTGAAAAAAATCACACTTGTTCTGAAATTAAACTACACACATTGTTCAGAGACTACATGTACACACCATTTTCATGGAGTACACGTTCATACCTTGTTCAGAGATTACACATTCATACCTTGTTCAGAGATTACACATTCATACCTTGTTCAGAGATTACACATCCATACCTTGTTCAGAAATTACACATTCATACCTTGTTCAGAGATTACACATTCATACCTTGTTCAGAGATTACAAATTCATACCTTGTTCAGAAATTACACATCCATACCTTGTTCAGAAATTACACATTCATACCTTGTTCAGAGATTACACATCCATACCTTGTTCAGAGATTACACATCCATACCTTGTTCAGAGATTACACATTCATACCTTGTTCAGAGATTACACATTCATACCTTGTTCAGAGATTACACATTCATGCCTTGTTCAGAGATTACACATCCATACCTTGTTCAGAGATTACACATTCATACATTGTTCAGAGATTACACGTCCATACCTTGTTCAGAAATTACACATCCATACCTTGTTCAGAAATTACACATTCATACCTTGTTCAGAGGTTTCCGAACATTTCCGAATTTCCACAACATCTCAGACACATTTTCACAAAATTTAATAAATTATCGAAATCATTTTTATTTTCTTGAAAAATAGCATCACCTCAATCATTCTCAGAGAATTAATTCCACATGTGTTTGCCTTTTATGTCCATCTCTCCATGATCATTTAACTCTACATGGCTATCGGACAACACATTGACGATGTCGGTTGTAATAAAAGTGTATGTACACCACTTAACAATACAAATCACACTGGGTCCAAAACATCACATGTGTTTGTATCAGCCTAAACAAAGATTCGAAACCTCATTGAAACAATGCAAAACTCGAAACGTTCCGACATGACAAGGTTGACATAGTTGTCTCCCTTTACTCATCTCCAGTGCAATCCCACGTTCCTTTCTTCAGGAAATATTTCATGTTTCTGTCCGTCCGTCCACCCATCCACCCACCCAGCTCCAGCCCTTGGCGTTGGGTATTTCCAAATTTGACGCATCAGTGAAAACAATTATCAATATGTCCGATGCAATTCCCAAATCTGACTTATACTATATTTTCAAAATAATGTTTTCTTCAGGTAACCATTTGACTGAAGTTTAAACCAGTTCTAAATGAATAAAACATTATAAAATTTATATTTTTAAACCATTGTCATTGGTTCAGTGTATTTGCCCTGAACGTGCATTATTTTCCACGCGAAACGTGCATTATTTTCCACGTGAAGTGTAAAGCGTCATCACATATACCAAGAGACACTGTAAACGCAAATGGTTCTTGTATGGCACATCACCCTGGGCGATATTGATGTGTATTGGTGTACTGTTAAACCCCGAGTTCATATAATGCTATTCATTGTAGTATTCAAATAAATATGTTACGAAGAAGAGGATGTTAAATATCGATTCGGAAATCAATACTTGCTCTTTATAAAGCGTGCATAGTACCTTTCATACAAATTGTTTACCAGTGGGACAGTTTGTTTGACATAAGTCAACGAACGGTGGTAGATGATCGTCTATATAGGACAGACAGCATAGCCATATAGGTCAGAGAGGCAGAAGGTAGAGTCATACAGGGCAGTGAGCCAGAGAGTAGAGCCACATAGGTACTAAAGCAGAGTGTAGAGTCATACAGGGCAGTGAGACAGAGAGAAGACTGAGTCATATAGGGTAGACAGACAGAGAGAAGAGTCATATAGGGTGGACAGACAGAGAGTAGAGTCATACAAGGCAGTGAGACAGAGAGAAGAGTCATATAAGGCAGTGAGACAGAGAGTAGAGTCATAGAGTAGAGTGGCAGAGTGCAGAGTCATACAGGGCAGTGAGACAGAGAGTAGAGTCATAGAGTAGAGTGGCAGAGCGCAGAGTCATATGGGGCAGTGAGAAAGAGAGTAGAGTCATAGAGTAGAGTGGCAGAGCGCAGAGTCATACAGGGCAGTGAGACAGAGAGTAGAGTCATAGAGTAGAGGGGCAGAGTGCAGAGTCATACAGGGCAGTGAGACAGAGAGTAGAGTCATAGAGTAGAGGGGCAGAGCGCAGAGTCATACAGGGCAGTGAGACAGAGAGTAGAGTCATAGAGTAGAGTGGCAGAGTGCAGAGTCATACAGGGCAGTGAGACAGAGAGTAGAGTCATAGAGTAGAGGGGCAGAGTGCAGAGTCATACAGGGCAGTGAGACAGAGAGTAGAGTCATAGAGTAGAGTGGCAGAGCGCAGAGTCATACAGGGCAGTGAGACAGAGAGTAGAGTCATAGAGTAGAGGGGCAGAGTGCAGAGTCATACAGGGCAGTGAGACAGAGAGTAAAGTCATAGAGTAGAGGGTCAGAGCTCAGAGTCATACAGGGCAGTGAGACAGAGAGTAGAGTCATAGAGTAGAGTGGCAGAGCGCAGAGTCATACAGGGCAGTGAGACAGAGAGTAGAGTCATAGAGTAGAGTGGCAGAGTGCAGAGTCATATAGGGCAGTGAGGCAGAGCGTAGAGTCATAGAGTAGAGTGGCAGAGTGCAGAGTCATACAGGGCAGTGAGACAGAGAGTAGAGTCATAGAGTAGAGTGGCAGAGTGCAGAGTCATACAGGGCAGTTAGGCAGAGCGTAGGGTCATAAAGCGCAGTGAGGCAGAGAGTAGAGTCATATAGGGCAGTGAGACAGAGTGTAGAGTCATAGAGTAGAGCGGCAGAGTGCAGAGTCATACAGGGCAGTGAGACAGAGAGTAGAGACATAGAGTATCGATATATAGGGTAGAGTGTCAGAGAGTAGAGTCATATAGGGTAGAGGGGCAGAGAGTAGAGGCATAGGGTAGAGCGGCAGATAGTAGAGTTATACAGGTCAGACAGGCAGGGTGTAGAGTCATACAGATCAGAGAGGCAGCGAGTAGAGTCATATAGGGCAGTGAGGCAGAGCGTAGGGTCATAAAGCGCAGTGAGGCAGAGAGTAGAGTCATAAACGGCAGTGAGGAAGAGAGTAGAGTCATAGAGTAGAGTGGCAGAGTGCAGAGTCATATAGGGCAGTGAGGCAGAGAGTAGAGACATAGAGTATAGCTATATAGGGTAGAGTGTCAGAGAGTAGAGACTTATAGGGTAGAGAGACATAGAGTACAGCTATATAGGGTGGAGAGGCAGATTAGAGTGATATAGGTCTGAACGAAATGGTAAATATGAAAAGCTTGACACTGAAACTACACAGGGTAGTCCGGTGACCAGCTGCAGCCTTTCCACGTGTTTATTGCTTGGCGGCAACTCCAGCGGTACGTACGATTGTCTGAGATACACAGGCCTCCGCGGTGACTCCAAATAGCATTATTGACAAGTTAATAAGTCCGCAAGATGATCGAAGTGTTTATCAATACCCATACAAAGGCCGCAGTGCGACCTGCTAGTACTTGATCGGTGTGATGGAAGGACGGGGTTTGTTGTGAACTATACACCATGAACTTATGGGTTTTTTTATATCACGATTGTTGTTTGTTCCACGCGCTTAAGGTTAGCGTTCACGTGTATACGAGATTGCGTATATATGACAGTGTAGGCAAGATAGAGAAGGTGGGGTAGTGTGTGTGAGCTCGAGTATGTGTGTGTGTGTGTGCGTGCGTGCGTGGGCGTAACTGTATTTATGAGACAGTGTAGTTCTGTGACAATGTAGTTATGAGATAGTGCAGTTCTGTGACAATGTAGTTATGAGACAGTGTAGTTGTGTGACAATGTAGTTATAAGACAGTGTAGTTGTGTGACAATGTAGTTATAAGACAGTGTAGTTGTGTGACAATGTAGTTATAAGACAGTGTGGTTGTGTGACAATGTAGTTATAAGACAGTGTAGTTGTGTGACAATGTAGTTATAAGACAGTGTAGTTGTGTGTCAATGTAGTTATAAGACAGTGTAGTTGTGTGACAATGTAGTTATAAGACAGTGTAGTTGTGTGACAATGTAGTTATAAGACAGTGTAGTTGTGTGACAATGTAGTTATAAGACAGTGTAGTTGTGTGACAATGTAGTTATAAGACAGTGTAGTTGTGTGTCAATGTAGTTATAAGACAGTGTAGTTGTGTGACAATGTAGTTATGAGATATTGTAGTTCTGTGATAATGTAGTTATAAGACAGTACAGTTCTGTGACAGTGTAGTTATAAGACAGTGTAGTTCTGTGACAATGTAGTTATGAGACAATGATGTTCTGTGACAATGTTGTTATGAGATAGTGTAGTTCTGTGACAATGTAGTTATGTGACAAAGTAGTTAAAAGACCGTGTAGTGCTGCGACAATGCAGTTATAAGACAATGTAGTTCTGTGACAATGTCGTTATGAGACAGTGTAGCTCTGACAATTTTGTTATAATTTATAAGACAGTGTAGTTCTGTGACAATGTAGTTATAGGTTATAAAATAGTGTATCACTGACAATTAAGTTATTACACAGTGTAGCTCTGGCAATGTGTTTTTTAAAGAAAGTGTAGCTTTGACAATGTAGTTATGAGTTTTCTCTCTTTATTTCGGTAAATGTAGGCCAACATGTATTGACATGTTGAATAGATACAACTTATTGGTATAAAATAGTTGACAAGATAGAAGATTTATGACATTATATCATCAGAATTATTTTTAAAAGGAGCATTGCGTGATACAGGTACATAGCAAAATTTTGAATGCAAATCTTGTGGCCATTAGAAGATAAACCGTATTCTTATCAAGAGGAAGGCTATTAGTTTCTTGTATATATTTTGTACGTAGTTGTTTGTACGCAGAGCAAACTAATAGGAAGTGATATTCATCCTCAATATGTCTATATTTGCAACATTTACATAATCGACCGTTTTACGGTATATTAACATATCTACCAGTTTCAATATGCAGTTGATGTAAAACAAAATCGAAATTGTGCTTTGAATTTCTTGATAGATATACAATTGAGGTATAACTCTGTTCCAAACGTAACTTTAAACAATCAATATGATGATGTTTTAGTCCCGTTTTGGAGCATGCTGTGGCCCAGTCGTCTAAAGCGCCGCGATTGGCTGTGCAGAGTTGCGTCCCTTGGGCACGCCAGAAACCTATGATTGTGGGTTCGAATCCCGGTTCGACCCGATTATGTTTCTAGGTTTGTCAGCACCATACCCGGGCTCGTGAGTTTCACCGAAGTGATAAACGTCTGAGACCTGCATCACTTTGGGCTTTCCTCCCACATTAAGCTGACACGCCGTGATATAACTGGAATACTGTTAAAAGCGGCGTTAAACCTAACTCACTCACTCACTGTTCATAGGTATATATTAGGCGTGACGTGAATTCAGATAAGAAAGATTTTGGAATGTGAATATACTGCTGTTCCCATATATATCCGAAACCAAAGTTGAACGGGATATATTTACATTTCGAAACCCAGTTGTGTTTGCCTTTATTAGATGCCTGTAACATCATGCTGTAACACTGTATGGATAACGGGATTCAGGCATAGAGATAAGCTTCAGCCAGTAACTAATACACTGGCCCAAAAAAGAAACGGATAACAGAATAATCAGTGTTTCATTACATGTTTAATGAAATAGGATTACACAATAAATAATGAAGACACAACAACCACATTTACACAGGATGAGGCACATGTTTCTTACACTACAAACAGTCTTTTAATGTTCTAAGGGACGTCTGTGTCTGTGATGGCACTGTGCCAAAGTCAGTACCGGGTGTTACCACCATGAGCATCGATCACAGCTCTGCACCGCCTGGGCATGGACTGTATGAGTCGTCGAATCTGGCGTTGTGGAATCCTTCTCCACTCATCCTGCAATGCATGGTTCAGCTGTTGAAGCGTCTGTGGTTGAGGCTGTCGGCGTCGTACACGTCTGTCTAGCAGATCCCACAAATGTGCAATGGGGTTTAGATCAGGCGATTTGTTCGCCCATGACAGCACAGTAACATTGTTGTGGGCAAGATTATCCATGATAACACGTGCAGTATGCGGTCTTGCGTTGACTTGCTGGAAAGTCTCTCTTCTGACGTCAATGGCGGGAATAAGGTGACGTTGAAGGATTTGTCCTACCATTCACGGATATGCCCGCCCACATCATGACACTTCCACCGCCGTATCGGTCGACTTCATGAATACAGTGTCGAGTGTAGCGTTCATTTCTCCGTCTGTAGACACGCATCCTACCATCATGGCGATACAGTATGAACCGCGACTAATCACTGAACCATATCCTTCTCCGGTGCACTAGGGTCCATGGTCGAACATTTCTGTTCCATTGCAGACGTGCACGACGATGATGGTGCCGCAGAACGGGCGCTGTATATGGTCTCATTGGCCGTATCCCATGCTGCCTTAGACGATTTCTGATGGTTTGCGCTGAGACTCTACGAAGACCAGGAACATTGTAAGCTGTGTATGCTGCACTGATTGTCCGGTTGCGAAGATGCAACACCCGGATGAAGCGGTCCTGCGCCGCAGTTGTGACCCTGGGTCTTCCACTTCTCGGTCGATCTCTTGTAGAGTTGTGGAGTCTGTAGCGCTGCCACAGACGAGAAATGGTACTCTGCCTCACGTTAAAGTGCCTGGCTACTGATGTCTGACTTTCTCCAGCTTCCAGACGTACAATGGCTCTGTTTCTACAGTCTTCATTCAGTCTTGTCATCATGAGAGTCACGTATACAGAACATCGGAGAGTGATTCGCAGCAGGACTGCCAAATTTTTATACCCATCAGTATATAGGTTAAGTAGCCGTATTTGCACGTGCAGCATGCTTACAGCTTTTTCTCCATGCAATTTCTCCCAGTTTGGTTTCAAGATGCTGTATTTTGGCGACAAGTCACCAAATGTTGTGTTCGGGTGCAATAAATTAGTGTAAGGTCAATATTCACAGTTAGCAATGACATTTATATTGAGTTCAAGCCTTCATCTTTAATAACAGTCAGCTTTGCGTTTTTTGTTTTGGCCAGTATACATCTTTTGTAAGCATAAATAGATAATGGATATCGGCCGCACTCTCCACGCACGATGTGGCTAGGGGTAGACATCTTAACACCAAGAAAGTGCTTATACGCCAACACATGTACAGTTTCCATTTTATCATTTCGATTCAACCCCCAACCCTCTGATCCATAAATAAATTGTGGGGGTATATTCTTGTCAAATATTCTGATACATGTTTTTTGGAATGTAGTTATAAGACATTGTAGTTCTGACGATGTAGTTATAAAACAGCGAAGCTCTGACGATGTAGTTATAAGACATTGTAGTTCTGACGATGTAGTTATAAGACAGCGGAGCTCTGACAATGTAGTTATAAGACAATGGAGCTCTGATAATGTAGTTATAAGACAGTGGAGCTCTGACGATGTAGTTATAAGACAGCGGAGCTCTGACAATGTAATTATAAGACAGCGGAGCTCTGACAATGTAATTATAAGACAGCGGAGCTCTGACGATGTAGTTATAAAACAGCGGAGCTCTGACAATGTAGATATAAAACAGCGGAGCTCTGACAATGTAGATATAAAACAGCGGAGCTCTGACGATGTAGTTATAAGACAGTGGAGCTCTGACGATGTAGTTATAAGACAGCGGAGCTCTGACGATGTAGTTATAAGACAGTGGAGCTCTGACGATGTAGTTATAAGACAGCGGAGCTCTGACGATGTTGTTATAAGACAGCGGAGCTCTGACAATGTAGTTATGAGACAGTAAAGATCTGACGATGTAGTTATAAGACAGCGGAGCTCTGAGAATGTAGTTATAAGACAGTGGAGCTCTGACAATGTAGTTATAAGACAGCGGAGCTCTGACAATGTAGTTATAAAACAGCGGAGCTCTGACAATGTAGATATAAGACATTGTGGCTCTGACAATGTAGATATAAAACAGCGTAGCTCTGACAATGTAGATATAAAACAGCGTAGCTCTGACAATGTAGATATAAGTACAGTGTAGCTCTGTGCTTATGTGCTTCTTTGCGAGTGCAGTTCTGTTACAATGTAGCTCTATCAGTTCCATGACAATGCAATTCCGCGGAAGAGTTTTCTGTGGTAATGTATACATAGTTTTCTGACAGTTTAATTCTGGGGAAGTGTATTTATAACACAATGAATGTTTAAAGCAGTCTAGCTATAAAAATGCAGCACTTATGCAGTAATGTGACAAGTACAGTATTTGAGTTTAGTTGATAAAGTGACGCATCTCGATGAAGTCTTTACTCAATATATCGGATTTTGACAGTGCTAACGCCACAATTGTTACTCATGTGAATAATCAACATATGCATTCAGCAAAGGGTTGCATAAAATACATACACAAAAGTAGATACCTTTGTTTGTAAATGTAAACTATCATCAACTAAAATATTATTTGAACGCAACTCTGAAGAAATAAAAGATTGAAGTATACAGTTCGCTTTTGTAATTTGGTCCACTGCCCCGAAGCAGTATCGATTTCACAAATTACATGTAAACAGTTTAACAAATGCGACAGACATCAGGTTCACTGACACCAGTCAAGCATAACATATATAAAATGGACAAACGAAACAGTTTACGCCAATCAATTATATATTGAGGAGGAGACAAAACATAAAGAAGAAAACAGCTGACGCACTGACTGTTAACAAGAGGTTTGTGACGCAGGAGACACATGGCAGTAAGAAAATACACTTCACACAGATTGTCACACCAAATGGCTTTCAACAGACAGAATGCGCTTTAAAAGCTAATATATATTTCAGGATCTATATTCAAAGGGCAGATTTGAACTATAAAAGTACCTCAAGGTTAAATTGTTTACAACATTGACTGAAGCGTGTCGTGAACTGTGCAAGTAGAAATAACAGCGACAAAAACATGTCCATATATCTTAAGAAATATCCGTTGTACGATTCCGATGACATCATGAGTATATCTTTATGAAATAGTGATGACACCATCTGTTCGCGAAAAGGTGAGTAAAGATTATCCTGCCGCAAGGGTGGCACCGTTACAAACACATGCAAAGGCCAGTAAATTGTTCACCCGGAATAAAACATGGAAACTAATGGTACAAGTGAAACAAACTGCATTGGATATAATTTTGATAACCAATGCGTCAAATTTGGAAAAATCCTTCCCACGCATGACTACCTTTTAAAATTTGAAGCTTTTAAATTACTAAGGCCCGGAATGTTGTAATTTCTTTGAAAACTCGGACTTATACAAACAGACACACACGCACACGCACACGCACGCGCACGCACACACGGTCACGCACACATGGTCACGCACACACACGGTCACGCACACACACGGTCACGCCCACGCTCGTGCCATGATGGATGCACGATGCAAATAATGTAGTAATGTAACATTTGAGGTAGACATAAGAAAAGAAAGCAAGTTGATGTTTAGATAATATCTTAACTTCTTTCAAACATATATGTTTCTTAAATGAATATGGAGTTTTACAAATAAGCATAACAAAATACTCGTTTTCTACATGAGGGACGAAGACTGGAGTAAGAAATGAATTTACAACAACATGACCCATACCATTTTCAAATGTAAATTTGTGCCGAAAAAGGAAATTTAATAAATTTGAAAGATAAGATGTCTACGATACCCATCAGCAGTTGTGTATTATGCGAATGTTTTAACTTTTAAAAAGTTTAAATAATTTTATATTTATATATGTTAGAAGTATTCTTTGATTGCTGACTAAGCGCCAAGATATAATATAGGGATATAATATCGCTAATTATAAGTTAAGATATTTTCATTTTAAAATCAAACATGTGATAAAATCATCTTACTTATAGTTTCCTTTGACCTTCTGGTTACATCGATAGTAACTGAATACGAAATGCTCAGCAATATTCAGATATAGATCATCGTTATAAAGTCTGCTATCTAGACTTCTCAAACTCAAAAATAATCCTGACCATGCTGAAACTATAGCAACTTGAAATGTAAAAAACTGAAAGTACGACAACAAAAAAGATACCAGTGAGGAACCATAAATAGTTCAGTGTCTGACCTCTATCGATGCATAATAATGATGCAGTCTCTGTACCAAGCTGTATGACAATAGGGAGGATTTCGAGTTCATAATTGTGAATTTCAGAGGCTAATAACGATGTAGCCAAGACACGTATATATACATCTATGTGCAGAATCGCATAATTTCTTTAACTTTTAAGTTAATCCCCGTTGTTTATCCTCATTACCATTTTTTTGTCAGCCAACCTGACCATTGTTTATATATTCATCACTGTCAGGTGACGTTGGCTGTATAAACCTTGTTCCAAACTGAAAGGTCTCACCCTTAGACTATCTTGGGATTAGGCAATGAACACCAACACAACAGTCACTACCATAATGTGCAGCCCTGGCACATAGTGCTTCTTGTATATATGATCTTGTTTAAAGTCAACATGTAAATACCGGAAGCCATCGACGTGACTGTTGTTACTTCTTACTAAGAATCGCACACCGACCCCTTGCAATAAAGGAATATGAGAATTATCATAATCAACGTTGCAAGGTCCTCTAACCTTCCCACTATCACCGGCAGCCTCCGTGGTCTAGTGGTAGAGCGTCCGCCCGGAGAGCGGAAGGTCTGGGGTTCGATCCCAGGCCGCGTCATACCAAAAGACGTTAAAAGATGGTACTTGTTGTTACCCTGTCCGGCGCTCGGCATAAAGGGCTTAAACAAGGACTCGTCGGCCTTGGAGTCAGTATACTGTGTCTGAGTGGGGTATTCATGTTAAACTGCGGCATGGTATCTCAGTGAGCTAGCACTATAAATCGGCATCAGTCCGGACTAGTACAAGCAGCCACAGACACACACACACACACGTGCATGCACGTCGCTGTATAAGTGCAATAATCTTGGACGCGACGTGAAACCCAATTTCACCCCACCTCCTACTATCACCGAGAACCACCACTACAGTCGTGCGAACCTACATGACTTTGTGGCGTGAAGTTAACTTGTTTACATGCGCCTGTGGTTAATGGTGCTTAGCTTCTCGGACATTAATAAAACAAACATTTAATTGCTCATAATGCTTAGCCAAGTCTGTGGCTGGGTATCGAGGGAGAGCCGTATCTTATCGACCCATCTTCTTGCATACCGAACAGTTTCCGTGATTACTGCCTGATTGAGGACAATGTCAATAACTTTAATTGGGCGTGTCAAAGTACCCCGAAATGTCCTGTTTCCTGGTTTTATGTTTCCGTGGAATCAACAATTGATGGAACAATACCATAATGGGTGAAAGTGTTATCGTCTTTCCCAGTGGACCTGCGTCTACGTGTGCGTGTGAGAGTAAGTGTGTGTGTGGGTGTGTGTATGCCTTTTCATCTTCGTGTTCTTGTGCTTGTACGTGAACCTTTGCGTGTGCGTGTGATTGTGCGTGTGCGTGTGCGTGTGAGAGTAAGTGTGTGTGTGAGTGTGTGTATGCCTTTTCATCTTCGTGTTCTTGTGCTTGTACGTGAACTTTTGCGTGTGCGTGTGATTGTGCGTGTGCGTGTGAGAGTAAGTGTGTGTGTGAGTGTGTGTATGCCTTTTCATCTTCGTGTTCTTGTGGTTGTACGTGAACCTTTGCGTGTGCGTGTGCGTGTGAGAGTAAGTGTGTGTGTGAGTGTGTGTATGCCTTTTCATCTTCGTGTTCTTGTGCTTGTACGTGAACCTTTGCGTGTGCGGTGATTGTGCGTGTGCGTGTGCGTGTGCATCTGCGTGTGCTTGTGTCTGTTTGCTTCTGCGTGTGTGTGTGCTTATGCATTGTTTGGGATTGTTGTTGAGATTGTAATTTGGATTAATGTTTGTAATGGTTGAAGGAAGAAAAGGGAAGAATTCTATCATGAAGAGGTCTCATTCTCACGATTTTGAGTAACTATCCTGTTGTGGATTTATCATTCTAGGCTGAAGTAGTTCTTTAATACATCGTAATACGCGTCGGAACCCGAAAGGTGCAAGCCGGTCATTTTATTTGTGAAATCCCCAGGCGAATAAACGGAACGTTTAAACATATATCGACCACGTCTTTCACGTGTTTACAGTCACACCGACATCAAAAGTTTCATCTACTGTAACATAAATATCCCGTGCTGCATAATCAATACCTTATGTTAAGGCAAGACGACACGTATAAACTTCAATTCCGACCCCTGTGCCAACGCGGTCGGGAACCGCCTCCGTGCCCTTGTGTATGGAGCGGAGGGTCGGTGGTTCGATCCCGCGTCATATCAAAAGACGTTGAAAGATGATACGTTTTGTTTCTCTGCCCGGGCTAGAGGATTAAGGGTATAAACAAGACTGGTCGGCTCGGGGTCAGAATATTGTGCATACATGTCGCTATAGAAGTGAAATGAATAATTAACGCGACGTTTAACCCCATTTCATTCCATTTGACCTTCAACGCTGAAGGGCATCTGCTAGCGGGGCGGACCTACTACTGTAGGGTTAAAGGAACAGCTGAAGGGCTAATCGTACCCCCTCCCCTGTCTTGTGGTACCATGGCGACGGTTCACCTTGGGGTTATGGTTAACGTTTGAGTTGGTATAGTTGTGGTCGTCGTGGTGTGGTTGTTGTCGTTTGAGTTGGTATAGTTGTGGTCGTCGTGGTGTGGTTGTTGTCGTTTGAGTTGGTATAGTTGTGGTCGTCGTGATGTGGTTGTTGTTGATCGGAGGTTGTTATTGACGTTTGAGTTGGTATAGATGTGGTCGTCGTGATGTGGTTGTTGTTGACGTTTGAGTTGGTATAGTTGTGGTCGTCGTGATGTGGTTGTTGTTGATCGGAGGTTGTTGTTTACGTTTGAGTTGGTATAGTTGTGGTCGTCGTGATATCGATGTGGTTGTTGTTGACGTTTG